TGTAAAAAAAAAAACAGTGAGGGAAAGGATGGACAATTCAATAATAATGTTGGGACATTTCATTTTCTATATAGAAAAACATAAAATTATAACCCAGAAGTAGGAAACAATTCCAGGATTGAGAGCCTTAACTATAAAAGAATTAAACTGTAAATTAAAAAAAATTGAAATCTAAAAACTATAAAAATATTTTTAATTTTAAAATATATAACGTGAACTGTAAAATGTAGGAGAACATTTTTATAATCCCGAGGAAGGAAAGGATCTCTTCAACAAGATGCAAAACACAAAATCATGAAAATCAATGAAAAAAGATGGATCAGTTTGAGATTGCAGAGGAAAACAATTAAACATTAAGGCACTAAGAACTAAAGGAAAAGACAAACCAAAGATTGGAATCAAGTATTCGCGGCACTTTTTTTTGCATTCTGTATCACTGTTTTTTTAATGGAGGTACTGCAGATTGAACCCAGGACCTGGTACATGCTAAGCATGTGCTCTACCGCTGAGCTATTTCCCTCCCCTCTTGCTTGCTGCACATTTAAATAGCAAAAGTTCAGTATTCAAGTACATAAATAACTTCTCATCAATTGGCAACAAAAAAGGCAAAGGATACGCTAGGTAAATAAGCAAAGAGTTGTCTACGCAATTCACTCAGAGGGAAATACAGACTGCCAATGAAAAGATGAAAAGATTCTTAAACTCACTAGTCAAAACAAGATCCTATTTCACACCCCTTGGCATCGAAGCACACCAAGTTTTGCTGGGGACATAGGGAAACAGGTACTCTGGCACATTTTTAGTATAATCCTTTTGGAGTTGATTTGAAAATTCCTAATAAAATTTAAAATACGCTCTCTCTTACAACTCTCTTTGAATTCCCCGGAGGAATTCAAAATCTAGTTGTCACAATGGTACACATGCAAAGATGTACATTCCAATTTTGTCAGATGAAAACATGGAAACAAACCTACTCTGTTTAGGGGGATGGAAAAATAAACTGTGCTTTATATAACTGGATACTATCACATCTCTATGTACATAAACAAATCACATCTCTGTATCAACACGGATAAAATCTAAAAACAGAACATTGAGTGATACAAGCAAGCTCCAATAGGTACATATATTGTGAACCCATTTATTACATTTGAAGGACCACAAAACAAGAATATTCAGTTTTTACGGTGACTGAAACACACACAACACCCACTTGTAGCACATAAATATAAAACCATGGGTGGAAGAGGGGACAAAGACAGTGTGCAGGACTTTCTGTTTTAATGTATGGCTTTTCCTAAAGGGAGATATGTGAGAAGAAACAGGTCAAAACTTATCAATCCTTTGCTTAATCTCAAGGATGGACAAATTGGTTACATTACTTTTTGTTTGAAACATTTCCTAATTCAACTTAATTGTTTCTTTCTAATTTAAAAGCCAAGTCAGTTGAGAAGCACCCTCTCTAAATGCAGCTGTTATTCAGCTCCTGGTGTTTGCTTGCCATATTGCTGCTCTGTCTGGAATGTTAAGGCAAAAAGAGGAAGGATAAACCATGATATCTCCAATCATGAACCTTCTCTTCCCTAGCTATCAGAGAAGGAGCTTTCTCCCGCTCCACTCCCAGACGTGCGAATTGTTGCCTGAGGCCACAGGAGAGTGCCTCTCAGTTTCAAGTTGATGAACTGGGCCTGGAAACAGCTTTAAACCTTGGGATGTGCTGCATACCCAGGCCTGGACCTGGACACCTGCAGCCAAGGAGCAGAGGGATTTTACTCAGGGCTCCTCAGGACAAATCGTGTGGGTGGACAGGTCTGCTCTGCCTGAACTCAGACTATGGGGTGAACACACTACTATTTCTTTGTTTTGAGAAATGCTAATGTAAAAATCACAGGAATTCAAAGCAAAATATGTCCTTAGCTACCGCAGCACACAAAGATGGTAAATATGACAGCACAAAGGCTACATGTAACCCTCACTTATATGAAGTTTGGCCCTGTGTTCCTTTAGCCCTTTACAAAAAATATTGCATTTTGTAAAGTTCAATTTTTTTTTTTGGCTAACATTTAGAATTTGAGATTTTTAATGGAAACTAGATTTCCAGCTTCTTTCCTGAAAAATCTGGATTCTGGTGCTGCTGAGTCTGAATTCTAGAATGACAAGAATTAGTTAACCCTGAAAACTGCCCCCTGCCCCAACGCCTCACCCATTACCTCACCTGCTGGCCCCACCAAGGGTTTCAATTCCCTCATTTTACAGATTAGGAGACTGAGGTCAAGAACCTTGCCCAACATCAGAGTGACCCTGTGGAGGGAGCTGACCTGGCACCACGCCAACCAGTTTTCAGTTAATTTGCTAGGCTCCCTTTTTTTCTACTAGATGAAGGCACTTTCCTCATTTCTAATGACACTGTCTGTGTAACTCAGCAGGTGCAGTGGAAATGATAATCATTATGTTTTAACAGAGACTTACTTCAAGAGATAATACAAATAATATAAATGGATTAATTGTCATATCAGCAGGAAGCCTCCACAAATTGGCCAGACTCAAGACGGTAAAAAATTATAAGAGGATATGACAATATAATTGAAAATTGGTATAATTAGAGGTTGCAGAAACACAGAGCATCAGTTTTTCAGGCTGATCTTGACATGTGTGTAATTCCTCCCCTCTTCCTCCACCCTTCCCTAACCTCCCCTCTTCTTTGGAATCTAGAAGAATGTACAAACCCTGCTCTGGGACCCTTTCCCAGCCCTTCCCACAACATACATACTTTTTTATAGATTTTTTTGTCTGCTGAACTTGTTTCTGGATTAAAGATGGCAGACATTCTACACTGACTTAGATGAGTTCTATCCATCATGCCCAGAAGTACTGAGCCACCTGGGTTGGACATTCTTATCCTACACAAAGCGCAGTTTTGTTAGAACCAACTACATGAAGAGATTACATGGATTACAAAGCCCTTTAGAATATAAAACACTGTAATAGCCTGGATGTAAATTGATAGGGAAATGGCTCAATTAACTTTGGCATATTTATACTGTGGACAAGTATACAACAAGGCAAAAAGAAACAGAGGTGAGTCTATCTTAAATACTAACATGAACAGATCTGTAGGATGCAAAAGGATATATACAGCATAGGTATATGGTGGTAGTTATGTCAAAAACACAAACAAAAACACATATTGCTTTTGGGTCCATATATGCACATGCAGACGGGCAGAAAATGTGTGGAAACAAGGATGAGATGGTGAGAGTAGACACCTTTGTTTAGATGGGGTGGGGGGAGGTATGAAGGTGATCAAGGTGGTTTTAGCTTCATCTGTATAATGTCAGAGTTTAACATTTAATTTAAATGGAAAATATTTGGGTCACATGTAGCTGTAGGTTCAAACAATCTTTTCATGTAACATGTATCTATGTGACTATTAATTTCTAGTCATAGTCTTAATCATGATATTTGTAAAACATCTGCTCATCCTTGGTAATAAAACTTGCATGATACTGAGATCCTAAACTAGTTTTATAAGTGTGAAAAATCATAGAAGGCATTTGGAAAGTTAAATTCCACCAGTTAAAATCAAGTTAAGTCAACTCCAGGAGTCATAACAGATTTGAGGACACCCAAATTTACCTTTAATTGCAAAGATTAAGAAATACGCGGATGGACTTAAATGAATCCAGGATGTCTCAAATTTCGAATAGAAGCCGCAGTGACAGATTGCTTAATTTAGCTTACCATGAGTTTTATTTCTAAGAATCTATTAACTTTTCAGTGATGGCATTTGCTTTTCTTAACAAAACCGATAGAACACTGGAGGGCAAGTATTGACAAGGAGGAAAAGGAGCCCCAGACTGGTGAGAGTTCAGTGTGACAAGACACCTAGGAAGCAGCAGGGCTGGGACTCCAGCCCTCTGTGCTCTCTGCCAGGCCATGCTGCCTGCTCCAGTTCACCAGCGTGACATCGCCTGTCTCTGTATCCTTGTTCTCAAGC